CAATCTTACACTTTTCTCTGAAATATCAAGCAATTCTTTTGTTCTGATAAGATAATTACTTTCAGGTTATGTTACATTCTTTCTTGTCCTTAGCTTTTTCACAATGATATAGTTGAAATATAACATCAAAGGAATGTTCAATGAAATGGAGCTGAATAGATTCTTGTGATGGATATTTTTTCCTTCCTGTTTCCTGTGATTTCTTTTATTTCCCAGATACATTTGCGGCTACTGTCTAAGTATTTTATTTTAAAAAATGCGTGTGCATTTTAAATTGCTTGATTTCCGAATTCAAAGTACAATTTCATTGATATACATGCTAGTAAAAAGTCATATTTATCTTTTAAGTATATTAATGATATTTTTAAATTTAAAAAAATAATTAATGAGTATTTTTTCAATAATGTTCGATTAGAAAAATAACTGCTGTTTAATGGATATTATTTATTTAATTCCCGTTTCATTTCTATTTTTCTTTGAAATTAAGTAAAAAAAAAGCTTTTGCTAAACTCCGTTGTTCTAAAGATGGAATATTGTTAAAAACGTACTTAAAACTTTTTAATGTACGTTAATACTCTTTAAATAGTGCTCGTATTGAATTTCAAGTTATTTGGATAATTTATTCTTAATTCGTCTTTTAAATATTTAAGTAAAAGCTGTTCATATTACACTTTATAAAATTGACTAAAAATATAAATTTTTATACTTGTATATACACAAGTTAAGCAAAACTGCATTTTTTATTGTAAATTTTCTTATTTTATTTTATAGGGTATTATCAATAATAAAGCTTAAAAAAATCCGTAACTTTATGAAATTTTACATACAAAGAATAAATATCAGTACAGGAATTGTTGCAAGAATATTATTTTACAAGTAAATATAATGATTCTTTGTAGTTTTGTCCATTGCTGTTAAATTCAAAGGAATGATTTTAACAATATAGATCATGCAATGATATATATTTGGAAAAAAAATCACGTGGAAGTAACAGAATTTAAATATACAAAAATAAACGTAGTTATACAAAAATTTTCGATAGTATTGGTTTAAAATATTTAATATCGATTTTTTTTTTTAAATTCATCTCTTTGCACCATGTTGCTCCACGGAATCAGCTTTTCCACACTAGTAAAAAATGGCGACTAATAAACACAATGGTAAATAACAAACAACAATAATTGTTTTCGGTTTATATAATATAGTTCGTGAAAAATTTAAAGAATGTGTTAAAAGGATTTCATCACTTTCTCTCCCTATCTGTTAGTAGAAAAAAATGTTGTTCTGCGTTTCTTCTTCATTGAAACAAACTGACAAGAATTAGAACTAATGGTTATGACATAAAAATGCTTTGACATAAGAAAAGGTACTATGATTATGCACACCTTTTGTATAGCAATAAAATAACATCAAAAATGCTTTTTTTTAAAAAAAAAAAATAATTTTTTTTTTCAAAATTGGAAATAGCATATAAAATAAATATAGGATTTTTTTTTTAGTTTTTTTTTACTTTTTATAGTGCGCAGTTTAGCAGTAAAAAATCAAAGAACGTATGTAACATAAGCAGAAAAATTTATTGATATAAGGAAAGTAAAATTTTCTGCATTACTTCGGTCAAATATCAATAAATTAAAGGTCATAACAACTTTTTATTTTCTAGACAAATTAAATTTAAAAATTTTTTTAAAAGAAAATTATTCTTAAGAAAACTAACATTAAATTATGTTATCTGTGATTTTAATTTATATGGGGTAAAATATATTTAGAATAATAAAACTTGTAACCCTTAATAGTCATATTAACTATTCATAAGAGTAATATTTTAAAAATATTGTATTTATAATAAATAGCAATATATTTATGAATGTTGTGGATTATGAATGAAATTGAGATTTTGGTTGGGCACAAAAACTTGCTATCGTTTTTTTTTAAACATATGATTTGTTGGATTATGTTTTACAAATTCAAAAATATACAATTCCAAAGAATAAAAATAACGTAATGCCTTCCATTTTAGTAGCCAAATATTTTTAGAACTTTTTATTCAAGTAACGAGTTAATTTTTATTCCAAAAGCAAATTCTGCATACAAAATGCATCGAAAGATTACTGATGAGGTAAAATGGATATTTTGTTGCAGAGTGTTATTGAATTTTATTTTCCGTGACTTTTAATCATAAATTTTATTCATTACTTCGATTATTTTACTTGTTAAGTTCGCAGAATTGTCATGTACTTTATTTAAGTTCATTTATGTTTTATTTTTAATTCTAGCTTACTTTTATTCTTATTTTTTGTTTTAAGTTTATTTAAGCTCTTATTTTAAGTTTTTTGTTTTTCGCAGTCGAAGTTTAGACTTTAATTGAATTGCAGAAAATATAGTGACAAATCTTCTCTGCATTTCTCTAACTTCTGCAATACACTTTTAGTACTATACGCCCATTTTTTAAGATCACCTTTTACAGTATTTTTGACCATGAGCAGAAAAGAAAACGTGCCCTTTAGATGAAACTGTATGATAACTCGTATGGACACTAGTATGATAACTAGTATGATATCTGGACACTAGTATGATAAGTATTGTCTAGATTATATTTACATCACAATAAGGGTTTGTTTATCGCTTTGCGTACCCCCATTTCAAATTAAACTTCTGAAAACTATTTTAATAACTTAACAAAAACATCATATAATCATCTACTTTAGATTTCAGACAATCAATCGATGCATATTTTAGTACGAATGTCAGTACTGTAATACTTACGTTGGTTGTTTCCGCCCATCTGGATTGAACAACTTTTTAAATTCGTGAAATATTAGGGAGATCTGAAATTAATGTCATTTTGATGCACTTGATATTTGTTACCAAGATTTTATTTTTCATCAAAAATGTATTCATCTTCGTTATCAACAACCCTTCAATTCCGGATCGTAAAAAAAGGGATTTTTAAGACTATCGAATATTCAATGCGCCGAAGCGTCATTACTTTCCAGGTTTCCTGAATATGTACAAACATGATAATTACAACACAACTCGAGCTTAACCCTTGAGTTTACAAACACTTTTATTTGGATTTCGAATTATATTATAGAAAAAATTGTACTTTGAATCAAATTAATGATGAATTTAATTAAAAATAAAACATCTTTTTGAAAGAAAAAAAATCTTGTTTGCAAGTGTTCCAACAATTAAAGTATATAAAATGTGCAATGATTTTAATATTTTATTTTAGTTACTGGAATTTTCACAACGATTACTTAAATATTTTAAATATAATCAGTTATACTTTTAAAAAAAATCGTTTTCTTTAAAATGTATATCTAAATGTATGTATATTTAAAATGTATTTGAGTGGAATAAAATATTTACATTTATTTTGTGGACTTGAAAAAAATATTTAGTTTAT